TGGACGAACAGGTACTCCGAGTCCCACGGTGCGCACACGAGCTATGTATGCGATCGCGACTCCCCACTTGCGCGACCAATACTGATATCTTCTTGCAGATGACATGGCCCTTGAACGTTTCGCCATGCTCGCACTCGGAAGCAACTCGCCAACAGCTGCGACCCGGAGCCCGGAGTCCCCTGAGCAAGTCCGACCGCCGTTAAGATGCGCCGCTCTGGGCCGTAAAGCGAGCCGAGCTCGGCGCGGTCAACCTCTTCCGCCGCCCCGGAAAGCGTGACAGGCAGCGGGCGCCGCGTCTGCTGCTCATTCGCCTCACAGCGCGAGCGAACAGAGGCATCGCAGGTACGCGTACTCCCATACTCGTCTACTGCGGCATTTCGGACTCACGTCCCTCTTTCAGACTTCGCATTCGTAGTACAATGTTTGCTATCATGAAAACGACGCAGGTGCGATGAGCGGATACCGGTGGGATCGTGTACAGACGGCCAGAACAACCTCGCCGTGCTCGCTCACCTTCCTCCGCCCGCGCCCAGCATCTCCCTCCCCGTTCCGGGCCTCCCGGAGACAGAGCCCCTCGATTACAAAGGTGCGATCAATGCGCTATTTCCCAGTCTGTCTGGCGGCCTCTCATGCACTCTCTTTGACAGGTTTTGCTCCGCATTCGTTGCGGACACCGTACAGGCGATCGGAGGTGTCCCGCCCTCGCCGTCACCCTCAGGAGTTTGCGCTCGTCTGCATGGGCGAAGAACTCTGCAACACGAGGCTTTGCGCGTACGCGTACGTTGGCTACAAGCGGCCCGGTTTCGTCTGCGGAACACCGCTGCATGGCCCGCGCGACGGTGAGTACACGCTCGCTCTTCGCTCACGATGTGCCCCGCTAATCGGCTCGCTACGCAGGCAGCACGAAGGAAAATTTACAGATCGCAAGCTACGGATTGATGCGCAACGAATCGCGGCCACACAGGCATCTCCCGCGAACATGCCATTGCGCTCGCGTCGAGGAGCTGCACGGTATGTGGTATGTCGACCCGTTACACCACTCTCGCCACTCACGGACCAACTCAGGCAAGGCCCACGCGATCATAGTCGCCGATACCGCAGTACCGCACACCCGGAACCGTCTGCGCGGGCTGCGAGGCGCGCTCGCTGCTCGGGTCCGGTGGCTACCAGCGCTCCGGCGCGTCGTCGCGAAGGTCTCCGCCCGGCGACCATACTTGGTCACACGCATGCATAAATCTCGGCTCCGCGTACGCTGTGCAAGGTGCCCAGCACCAAGAGAGTGGGTGTGCTATCCGCCGAGCGCCGGCTGTCACGGCGTTCTCCCGCATCGCGAGGGCGACCGCGGCGTACGGCGCCCAGGGAGACTTCCGCGTCTTCTGCTCTTCGCCTCCGTCTGGGTGTGGGCGGTGACGTCGGACTCGGGGCGCCCGCAGTTGTGGGTCCCCGCCACTCACCTCGTCTCCTCTCTGCAGTTCACGCCGCCCCTCGAGA